CAGGAGAGCCAGGGAGAAGGCTAGGGCAAGGCTCTGATACTGCCTGGGGCACATCTCCTCCTGTCCCGTTAACACGTACTTCTCTTCCCATCCATGTCTGCATGGGTTTTACGCGTGAGGACACCGTGCTTGTAGGTGACTGCATTCAGTGCTTGGGGGATGTCCAGGAAGGGGTTGCTGCTGTCAACAATCCTTGTCACTTTCTTCGCACTGGCTCCGAATTTGTCATCTACCAGCTCCGAGAGTGATTTCCTCAACTCGTCCTCATCACTTGGAAACAAAGTCAGAGAAGAGATTGAGTGGAGGACATGTGGGTTGGGTCACAGTGTGCCCTGTCTGCTTTGGTTTTAAAGAGAGTTATTTATTACAAGACTAGTCAGAGAAAGAAAATGAGAGGAGACGCAGGGACTGTAACACGCAGAGTGTGCCAATGGTGGTGATCTGGACACAGCTGGGAGGAGCATGGGTGGCAGGTAACTGTCCCAGTGGTCCCACTGTGAAGTTACTCAGAACAGGTAAGGGAATGGGCGCTTGTCTGAACACCAGGAAACTGCAGACACACCATTGCTGAGGACTACAAGCATTTCACAGGGAGAGCCTCCAATTCTGTGCCCTAAAATCAGAGCTTAAGGAGGTCTTTTGCTGAAGACCAGGTATCACTGGGGTTTCTCAACCTAAGAGGCAGCCCCTGCAGCCTCCTAGATACTGAAGGGGCTTGAGGAACATCCTTTGCATCTCTGAGGAACAAAAGCTCTGCAGACATTAGGGAGATGGGCCACTTGATCAAAAAACCACAAACCCTGGAATAGGTTATACGTCAGCTCCCCATTTGCGTCCTCAGGGGGGGCCAGCAGAGAGCAAGAAATGCTGGTCATTTCTATAAAAAATGCTTCTCCTCAGAGATGTCCTGGTCCTGGACCCTGGACAGCAAGGGCTAAGCAGCTTAGGGAAGCATCCACTGACTCCACCAAGCCTGCCTCTTCCTGTTTGGAGTAAAACCTACTCTGGCACATAGAAACTAGAACTTTATGGGAAGTGATATTTCCCAGTGTCCCTGGGACATTAAGGAGGGAGAGCAAACAGGGAATTTCTGCCCTGTGTGATACATGTCAATGTCTAAATGGTATGAGTGGTCACCTTAGGTTGCAGATTAGATTGGGACCAAACCTCAGCTGAGGAGTGACCCAGGGATGAATCCGCTAGCTGGGATGTGAGCAGTAAAATACCACACTTCCCCACCTGCAGCAAGTAGATGGCCAAAGCATCAGACACCTCTTGGAAGAGAAGGATGATTTCTCAGCCCTCAGCACCCACAGGAGTCCTGGGGCTTAGGTAGAGCCCAGACACTACGCCTGGGTGGGGAGTTAGTGGGGCTCAGTTCTCCGAGCTGCACCAGAGGGACCCCTCTGAGCTCCTGCTTGCTGCTGGGATGGTGGTCGTATACCTGCCTGTCCGGTTGGGCTTTGTGAACAAGGGCATTTCATTCCCTGGGATGGACAAGGGCAGAAGGCAGAGGCAAGCAGGGAGAAGAGGGCCTTGCCTGGGCAAGGTTACGACTCAGTGCCACGTCTCTGAAAGAAAACCAGGTACCCCATGTCAGGGAGCGTCTGTCCCACAGCAGAGGAGCTGAGAGGTCTCTCGTGTTGCAGCCTGTCCGTCTGCAACCAAGCAGGACACCCTGCAGCAAGGCAGGTCCCAGGCCAGTGTGGGGTGAACGAGGGGGTGCAAGGATACAAGCACGGTGGGTGGAGGAGGGCAGGAGGGGAGCTAGATGCTGCTGCTGACTGGAGCTGCACCGCTGCAGCGGGACCCCAGGGCGCTGACATCCCTCGGATGTGCCTGAGACAGGGAGCGTGTGCTGGCAGGCATTGTGTAGCCACTGCCCACATCCAGCCAGCAGATGCACTTCTGCTGAACTCCTCTTACGTAAACCGTCCCACCAGCACCTTCTGCGGAGCTACAGAGCTCCCTCTCGCGACTACGTCCACCCACCGACCCGGCCGCTGCTGCAGAGCTGGCATTGCTTGCTTTCCTCTCACACAGATGCCATGCAAGATTATTTTTAAAGTGAAATCGATGCTACATGACCCGCTAAGAAACCACTGCCCTTCCAGGGCCACCGGCTGGCTGTGTCCCTCCCCAAGGAGACACCGGTCCACAGCGAGCACTGCTGGCATCGGGGCATGGCTGGCAATGGAGGCTCCTGATTTGCAAAGCTTGACCTAGGTAGCTGGGGAGGGAGGTAGGACCAAACCATTTCCAGACACTTTTCTGGACAGGACAATACAAGGAGAAGAGCAGGTGATGGAGCTAATGGCCCAGAAGGTCCTGCTCTGTCCCACGATCCTCTGGAGACAAGAGAGGTCTAAGGCTAAGGAGGAGGAGAGGAGAGGAGAGGAGAGGAGAGGAGAGGAGAGAGAAACATCCACTGTGTTAGCTTAAGGCCCCAGGTCTGTCATGGGCTTCCCCACAGCAGCGGTGGGGAGGTGTTGGGGCTGGGGAGCACAGCGCACCCCTCACTGAGGGTCCTGGCCTGTGCTCTGGGCAGGGGCTGGGTGGCAGAGCAGAGGAAGAAGGGCTGAGGAAGGTGCTGCGTGAATCTGTCATGGAGGCCACCATGCTAGCTGTTCCCAGACTTCTTTCAGGGTAACAAATGACGACCTGGAGGAGGAGACAGAGTGCATCTCATCGAGTTTGTGGATGATGTAAAAATGAGAGGTACAGTGCCACTGCTCAGAGGGACAGGAGCCTCACTAAATGCAGCACCCCAGTACTGCACTGGGGGGGAGTGGTCCTGCAGAAGGGTTGGCCGGGGCTGACTGTCTGGGGAGCAACTCTGCAGAAAAGGCCCTGGGGCTCCTGGTGAACAGCAGGATGAACAGGAGCCAGCCGGTGTGTCCTGGCAGAAACAGAGGCCAAGAGCACTCTGGGCTGTCTAACAGCGGCACAGTGAGGAGGCTAAGAGAAGTGATCATCCTCCTCTACTCGGCACTCATTACATCATCTCTGGGCCTACAACACAGGAAAGGGCATCAACAAGGTGGAGAGGGTTCACAGAGGCCACCAAGATGCCTGGGGGCTGGAGCACTTGCAGTGTAAGAAGTGACTAGGGAACTGGACTTGTTCAACCTAGAGAAGACATGGCTTTGGGGGAACCTCACGGCAGCCTTCCAATATGTGTGAGGAGGTTATCGAGGGGACAAAGCCAGGCTCTGCACTATGGTGCATGGCAGGAGGACAAGAGACAGTGGGCATAAGTCAAAACAACAGCAGTTTCAAATGGATAAGAAAAAAATGTCACTCTCAGGATTATTAAGCATTTGTTCATGAATCCAGAGGGGCTGTGGGTTCTGTATCCTTGGAAGTTTTCAGGATCAGACTGAACAAAGCCCTGAGCATCCTGGTCTGAATTCAATGTTGACCATACTTTGAGGAGGAAGCTGGACTGGAGATCTCGTAAGGTCCCTTCCCACCTGAGTGATTCGATACTATTTCCAGAAGAAACCATGTGGAGGAGATGGAAAGTCTCAGTGACCAAAATAACCCCAGATCTTGAGCTCCCTGTGCAAAGACCTCTGAAGCACCTGGAGAGGGACCAGCATTTTATAGGTGTAATAGTAAACAGAGGGCATTCCTTTCCTTTAGATCATGCCTGTGGACCCTGTGTCCACGGACTGCCACCAACCTCCCCGTCTGCTTTTGTGTCTAAGCTATAAATAAACCCAGCTTGCCTACAGAAGGGACTTCAGTGCTTAACAGCTTGGCAGGAAATGTTCTGGGGCTAAAAACATGACTCAAGACCTGTCAGCTACTTTGAAAGACACACTATCTCTCAAATGCTTAACATATACTTACATGGCCCACTCCAGCTTCTCATTCTTGATAGAGTTATATAGTGTCTGAAACAAGAACATGGTATTAGCTGTGTCTCTCATGGAAGACATGTCTGGGTTGTGGAGACCACCTCCTTCACACCCTGTCTGTGTTCTTGGAGACATACCTTCCTTGCTGAACTGTCCTGGAGAAGTATTCACCAGCGAGCAGGACAACTGCTGTCCTGCTAGACCCTTTTTTGTCTATGTGCCACGATAGGTATTGGACTGGACATACCAGCCGCAGAGGGGTCTGGCAGCCAGCCTTGCTCAGGAGCCTGTATATGACATTATCGACTGATTCTGGGTGCTGTGCCTGTGTTGAGTGAATCCTGGCCTACACAAAGATGGTAGAAGACTCTGGGGTATGCCAAGACACCTTCAGTGTCTCGACTAGGGGAAAGGGACAGTGGAGGCTTGAACGCTGCCCTGAGAAGCAGGGGAGGGATGAATGACCTTGGGGATCAGCTTTTTCAGTTCCTCCTGTGCAAAATTCCAGTGGCTTCCCTGGGGCACTGGGAAAGAAGCCGGAATGGGCTAGGAAAGCAGAATGTGGAGGTGGCCGTGACCATACGGAGGGGTGGGGTAGGGTGAGGTCTGCTGGGAGGCGGGGATGTCATTTACAGCATGATGTGACACCCCTCATGTGGCACTGGTCATTTCAACCTCCTTCCATACAGCAAAATCCAGGTCAGGCTGCTGGACCTGCAGCAGGTTCAGACAACAGTGGTGGTGTTAAACCACGTGGAAGGAGAAAATACTCACTTTGGGGTGTTTAACCAATATCCCATGGTACCGAACTAGTTGTGTTGGAGCACTACATCTAATTACATGGAAGTGAAGGCAGAGAAAAAGTATCAGTGCCAGATGGTCATATTTTGGGGTGGAGGGTACCTTGTTCTGTGCATTGTCTGGTGCATCACAGAGCTACCGTGGGGGAGAGGGATGCCTGGTATGCTCTGAAGGCAGATATGCCACAAATCTGGTTAAAACACCACCAGGGAAGAGACCTCTGGTGGCTCACTGCAAGTTAGCAGAAGCTATCCATGTGGGTTACAATTCTTCTAATGAAACAACTGTGCACTGGAAAATGCTGATTCAAGGACTCAGAGCGTCCCAGCAGGACTAGGTGGCACTACAATAATAATGACAGTATCCCACTGTTACCTTCAGCAAATCCTTTGCAAAGTCCTTCCCATCGTTCAGCCCATCCAGGTTTGCTATGAACTGTTGACACGACATCTTTTTGCCAATATTCTGTAAAGCAAAGAAGCAGCTCATTAAACTTCTGGAGAGTTTTTATTTTAATCAGAGTGTCTTTTAAAGAACAATTTTATATGTAGTGGTGAAGCCTGGGTTCGCCCCAAGAGCTCAAAGCTGAAAGGTCTTCTGCTCCGATTTTCTATTGGGCTCTTTGCTTTATTTGCTCATGCCAGCACCCAAACGTTTCAAATGACCTCTTTTTTTTTAACGGTGGACATAAAACACCTGAAAATAACCTCTCCAGCTCTTGCTCCAAACTTTCTAAGTGTTCTCACCTCTGGTCTCCAGGTTGGTCCTGGTACAGGGCCTGTGTCTCAAAACTGAAGACAAGCACTCAGACTGCCTTGAAATTGCAACGCCTGGATGCGTCTCCAAGCCTGCTGTGTGTGAAATTGTGCGAGCATGCAGTGTCAGCATCTGAAGACAGCCAGCATTGGGCAATGACTCATCCTGCACGGAAACTGTCATTTTTGATTGCCATTGTGAAGAGAGATGATCCAGCTACTGGTACTGCATGAACTTGAGTGCTGTGGCATGTGAGGGCAATACATGTACACCGAGAGAATCTCACAACCTGGAACACACTCATCAACAACTAATGCCAAGACTATTTGGTGCTGACGCTGCCAGGTCATCTGGTATCCCTGATATCAGTCTGTAGCATCCGTCTTCCCAAACCCTTTAGCCCTCACCATAGCCAGGTGAGTTCACTTTCTCAGCCTGGAAGGGTTGAGGGGCTGGAGGCAGGCAGCCTTTTTCCAAGCCTCCCCCTGAAATCCTACCTCTCCAAAGGACTGGAGCAGAGGTGTGGAGGAGTCAGTGGGAACTGTAGGGTTCAGAAAAAGGAGTCTGATACCACAAAGGAAAGATAGGTGTCTCCAGTGCCATGTCGTATTGCAGCCTTCGCACCCTGGAGTGAAGTCCCCAAGGACAGACCCTGTGGTGACATCACATGGAGTGGACAATGGAGTTAGGAGAGCACAAGCCGCCACCAGCGGTCCTAAGGATCCTAACAGCACTGACACTGGGTGGGCTTTGCATCAAGGTATCGACAGGGTGGCCATCTAGGAGGACCTGGGAGGATGGCCAAGAACAGCAGAGCCAGGACCCTGCTTAGGGACTCAGTGAGGAAGAAGAAGGGCCTCACTGGGTCACTGGGAGGGGAAGAAGCTGCAGCAGATTATATAGGAGGTGCCCTGCAGGGCAAGATGTGTCCTCTGTGCAAGAAAATAACCTCTTGAAAGAGACTGACAGCAGAAACCCCTGCCCACAAACATACACAACAGATGACCTGGAGGCTTCTCCCCAAGTGAAAGCATCAGCAATCTCTTTGGCTGCACAGGGAGCCAGCGCTGCCTTTAAGCAGCTCTGTCTGATACTCTTAATTATGCCTCCTGTCGGTGCCAGCTCCAGATGAGCTGGCACCCTTGAGAGATCAAGAAAAAGAGGAATAAAGCACTGTTACAAATCTGCAGTGCCTGGGGACACGGTGCTGCACAACATGAGGCTTAGCCATCTTTGCTTTCTCACAGGGGAGCCCCACAGCTGATGCCCATAACTGGACCCCATAGGAAGAGGCTACTGCCAGCTAGTGCTCAGTGGGTACACTAGCCGCAGGAGGGCTGTGGGGAATCCTGCAGACATACTAGTTTTTTTCGGCAGAGGGAAGAGAGATTTGTGTACTTGCTGGCTGGTGAATTACAGCCAAAAAAAAAAAAAAAAAAAAAAAGCCAGCAGCACAATGGCATGTGGATGGAGAAAGGAAGGAGGGTGAGAGAGCGCATAAAAATAATGCAGCAACAAACCCCCACGAGGGAGGGAGTTTGGAGGTGAGGTAGGTATGTTGCCTGAGACCTTGAGGGACCAAATTACTTTGCACAGAGAGAAGGTGACTACTTCTACCCCTGCCTTGAGGCAGGAAAGCAGAGCGCACAGCACAGGTCTTTCTGCCTGCAGTGATCCAGCAATGGATGCAGAGGCCAACACATTTTAGGAAGTGAGTGGATACAGTGAGATAAAGTGGCAAAAGTTACCAGCCTCGCAGGCCCTTCCTTGGGTTTCTCGCATATTGCGTCCAGGACATATATTAATCCCAGGGGATGGCTTCTTTTTTATTCTGTGATCTGTCTCTTTCTCTTGTGCAAGAAGATCTCTGAGCTCAAACTGAGACAGCAGCCACGCTGTGGAAAAGCAGCTAATTGCTGAGCAATTGAGAAGGATGAAAACATACACTTTCTCTGACTACCAGAAGAGGTGATGAGAAAGCTCCAGCAAGGATGCTCATACTGTGAATCAGCTTGTTGGACAAGGTTCTCGAAGAACTGCAGAGTCAGGGGCAGGATTCAGGCTGCCTGTCAGTAGGATTGAGCACAGGATGCTGGGGTGGCTCAGATGCAATACAACCTCAAGTCAACAATACCTTAACATTTTAGCTTGCTGCTTTGAGAAATGGGCTAGAGCCAGCCACTCAAATACAAAGCCCTGCAAGTGCCTCCAACTCAACACCAGCTGAATAGAGAAAACAAAAAAACACTCCAGGACATGGACTTCGCAGCTTCACTTGATCAACACTTGCAAAGAAACAGTTCTGTGATCACAAGTGCCTCATTACCAATGGCACCAGCACCAGGGAATGCCTGAGCTTTCGCACACTGCAACAGTATTTAGCAAGTATGGGGAATCCCAGGAACAACTCTGGAAAGGGCCACTATGAGGGCACAGTGGGACACAGTAGGCCATCTTGCTGATTCAGCAAGATCATCCCATGTGGACATAATCTTCAGGGGACTGTATCTGCACACTCAAAGCTCAGTGTTCAGATGTTCTATGTCCCTTGCTGAACTGGGATCTCTGGGTAGGGAGATGTATCTTCATTTCTGGCCAGCCACACGGATGGGGGCATTTTGCTTTTTTGTGGTGCATCAGTCACTTACCAGCAATAGAACAAGCCAGCGAGGCTGCTTCACAGCCACACATAGCTACTATTCCTGATATGTTCCCCTGGCAGAAAAGAACTTCATCCCATCTTTGCTTGCTCCAGGCCATGCAGCAAAGCATGAGAAATCACTGCCAGACAATCAGCCAGCGCCATGGTGTGCTTGGATGGAGAGCGAGTGAGCAAACAGTGGATTAAATAGATGAGAAGGAATGGATAGTTAGATGAATGGGTACAGACAGTATGGGAATGGATGGACAGAGGTGGATGGGTGCAGACAGTGTATGAGAATGGAGAGATGCAGAGACAAGGTGCACGACAGTGGTTAGAGTGCATAAGAATAAATTAGGAAGGATGAGATTGATCTAATGGTGGGTAGACAGGGCTGATCCTGCCGTCCCATTGTTTCGTCCCAGTGTAACTCCCCTGTTTACAGTTTCCTCCTCTGGGCCTCAGCCATCTGCCTCTGAGCTGACTCACCCAAGATGATCGCAGACCATCTCCTGAAGTGTCTAGGATGCTCTATCCACCTCCAGAAGACTCTGGGCTGTAGCCTAGCATTCCTTGGCTGTTGCCAAGTCCCAGCATCAGGAGGCTGGGCCAGTGAGTATGGAGCTGGATCCTCACTGGTAAAAGTAGGTGCCATGTGAAAGCCCCAGGAGGAGAAGCAGGTTCTTGGGGGCCAGAGGCCGTGAAGGGTGGCTATCTGGGGTGCTCTCCCCAGCACTCCCTCTGTGAGGTGTTAAACCACTTGAGCTTCTGGGCTGAAGGTCCCAGGCATCAAACATCTCAGCTGCAAAGTGGTAAGTGGAGTACATCTCCTGTGAGCTCCCCAGCATGAGCATCATGCCCCTAGCAGTCCCTGCTTTTACTCAGGCTCTTTTGACCTCTCCCAAATACTCATCTTCAGAGGAAAAAACCCAAACCACTACATTTATGCTTCATCATGAAGTGAGGGTCATTGGTCTGAGTGGACCAAGGGATCTGGTAGTGGATGTGTTCTAGGCTGCAGAAACAAAATCACCCCACTGCAGGAAACAAACCCGCAAACTTTGGGTACCAATGACCCCTGGGCCACGCAAAGCTGTTGTGGGCAGACTGATGTCACTGCAGGTGATGCCAGTGGCTGCTCAGATCTCAGAGCTCTTCAGCTGTCCCAGTGCTACTAACAGCGATATTGCTAACACCAAACCATAAGCTTGGTGTAAGGAGAATATCACAGGATTTGTAAGATTAATAGCGATCGACATGTGGAGTTAGGAGCTGCCAGGGATCCCATTTCAAGCTTTGTTCAGTGGCCATGAGAGCTGCTGGCCTGCTTTTTAAACAAACGCTAAAGCTTGTCACATTACAATGTGACTCCAGAAGCTGGGCTTTGCTAAAGTTCCAAAATGCAACCATGAGTGCTGGTGATGCATAGGTGTTGAGTTCATAGAATCATAGAATAGTTTGGGTTGGAAGGGACTTCTAAAGGTCATCTAGTCCAACCCCCCTGCCGTGGGCAGGGACATCTTCAACTAGATCAGGTCGCTCAGAGCCCCGTCCAACCTGACCTGGAATGTTTCCAGGGATGGGGCATCCACCACCTCTCTGGGCAACCCGTGCCAGTGCTTCACCACCCTCAGCATTAAAAATTTCTTCCCTAGATCTAGTCTAACTCTACCCTCCTTTTGTTTAAAGCCGTTCCCCCTTGCCCTGTCGCAACAGGCCCTGCTAAAAAGTTTGCCACCATCTTTTTTATAAGCCCCCTTTAAGTACTGACAGGCTGCAATAAGGTCTCCCCAAAGCCTTCTCTTCTCTAGGCTGAACAACCCCAACTCTCTCAGCCTTTCTTCATAGGAGAGGTGTTCCATCCCCCTGATCATTTTCATGGCCCTCTTCTGGACCCGCTCCAACAGGTCTGTGTCTTTCTTATGCTGAGGGCTCCAGAGTTGTCACTGTCCTTCCATGGCCAGCAGTTCTGAACAAGGAGGGATAACATTAACGGTTGAAAAGGAGACATCCCAAAGCTTTGTCTCCAAGGGGCAGAGATGGAGCAGAGGAGTACTTTGTCATAAGATCTCCTGGAGCTCAAACAGCACCAGCAGAGCAAGGTAGAGAGTTGCAACAACCTGGATTATACTACAAGGCTTGTAGCATTTGTTGGTGACTGCTGGCTTTTAAACACCAACTCCAGGTGATTCTATGAAAATGGAGTGTCTCATTTTAAAGATTGTAAGTTTTCTGGACAGTTTGGAAACGGGGTCTGAGTGCACCTGTGGTAAAAAATCAACAGTACTAAGGCAAAATTCCAATGTGGCCAGGTGCAAATCTCATGTTTTAAAGCCAGTCTCATTACTTTTAAGCCTGGACTCAGTATATGAGATGGTCACTGCTGGAATGGTGAACTAGCCCATTCTAGAGACACCGCTGCAGGGAATTGCCCCTTTACAGAGACACATCAACCACCCTTTCCTAACCAAAAGACTTTCCCATTCCATGGCAATGCACAGTAAAACACTGAAACACACACACACACAATATTAAAAAAGGAAATAATAAAATAAAAAGTGATATGCAATATCATGACAGCATCTTTAACAAAAAGGGGTGAGAGATCAAGTCACACAATCCCAGGTACACTGCAGTTTATGGAGGTTTCTTGACACAAGGAGAATTTCATGTGATGCATATCAGCTGCTAATGGGTTGCTAAGTAGTGAAGGACACTGCACAACCACTTAGGAATCCAGACAAACAAAAATCCTTTTTTTTTTTAAACACAGAAAAAAACAAGTCAAATGCCAGTGCTTTAAAGCAAAACACTAGAATGACTGCACTTACCACCTGGTAAAGGGTTAAAGAGCAGAAAGAGAGGTTCCAGGAGCAGAAGGAAGAAAAAAAAAAGGAGGAGAAGGAGAAGAAGAAATTAATGTTACACATGCGGAAAAATAAAGAAAAGATTTTTCAAAGAAAAGCTCAGGCATTTCTACACCTGGTCAAAAGAAAGCTATTTTTTCTTTGCCTAGATAGCATGAGAACATTTCTTCTTACCAGGCCTCCTAGCCAGCTTGTCAATGAAAAATAGAAATAGTAAGGTTTTGGAGGTTTAGGGGTTTTTTTGGCCTTTTCAATAATTTCTATCTTCCCAGAGACATATTTTTGATTTTTTTTTAATTAAAAAAACTAGACAAAATAAGATTATTTTGGAGTGAAGTTGCATAGTTTGCCTTCTGCCACAACGCTGCTTTTGCTGTTGCAGGAAATGCTTTGATGAAAATATTTCCTTGGCTCCAACCATTTCGGCTCAAGGATGAATGCTGTGTGAGACCCTCCTAGAAGCCGTCCCCACTGCGATCCCACCGGGCGCAGAGACACTTTGCCTAGACACGTCACTGGCAGCCGTGTGGGTGAGAATGGACCCAGTGGCCAGTGTAACGTTGGTCATAGGCTGCCTGTTCCCCAAAGGATGAGGCTGCAGCAGCTGTAACCAGCTTGGTGCAGGCCACAGTGCACATCTGGAAAGGATGGTCTTGCTGAGACCAGTAATTCCCTTCACTGACTGCTGTGTTCAAACCTTGCCACTGTCATGAAGGCAGTATCTGTGCTGTAATGATGGGGAGGGTCTCCCAGGTGGACTGTCAGGATGGCACCGGTGAAGCTGGTGGCCTTTGCATCTTTGCCATCGTAAGTGAAGAGCACTCATGTAGTGTCCTCTTCCCACCCCCACAGAAAAAGGCTCCTCTCAAAGGTGATGATCAACCAGTATGCAAAAAAAGAGCTAGGTTATGGCCTACTGTCCCCTCATTAACAGGCTAGTGAAGAGAAAATCAGGGCAAGTCTCTGCAGATGCACAACAAATTGTTACCAGCTGGAGGCAGAAGAGGACTCTGATGATACAGCTTGGAAGTCATGGGACTGTGGGGCAAGAAAAAGGGTGTGTAGGTTTCACATGCACAGGCTACTATAACAAGCCATCTGTCCCCCCATGCCCCCTCCATCTTCACACAAGTTCTGGGAAGTCTGTGGCTCCAGGTCTGAGCTCTCAGAGGGGCCATGAAAGAAGGTACTTCGGTGACCCGAGACTTGAGAAGCCCCTCTACCCGTGTAAAGGGGGCACAGCCCCCTGAGGCTCACAGCCATGCTCTATGCCTGCGCCATAAGGCTGGAGAGCAGGGAGGAAATCTGGGTCAATGGTGCCTACAGCCTTCCACAGCACTGAGCAGGGCGCAGAGTCCATGCATGCTCCCAGATGTACGCCACAGCAGGGGTCTCCAAGGATACACAATGTCCCAGTGCTGTCCCCTATGCCCAGTCCCATCTCCCCTCTGCAGTTATTTTTCCTCGTACTCCGCTCTCCTCTCTACACTCTGGTTGACCTTTTAGGAACAAATCCAACCTATGCCGCCTGAAAGAGCCTCTAAAAGGAAACAGCCTCTGCTGTTTTTCCAACCACACCTTTGGGCACTGAGCTCTGCTCACCCTGCTCTTTGTCCAGAGGCCTCTCTGATATGAAACTCTCCAGTGTCTGTCTGTTACATCTTGGGGGAAAAGGAACAGCTGGGACTTACTTCGTGTTTTGGGAAGGAAAGATCAAATCTAGACCTGTATGAAACTACTGACTCCCTTGCAGCAGTTTCTGGGATGAGGGGAGCCTCAGGTGTCTGCACCACGAGAAATAGCAGCACAATGGTGCTGCTGTTTGACAGCTTCACAGAGACTGGTAGTGAAGACCTCTCCATGAGAGCTCCTGGGACAGGTCTGACGCATACAACAGGTCCTGGGAAGAAAGCTGCGTTGCCTGTGCCCGTATAAGATAACTGATGTCAGCAGGAGATATGCCTTTGGCTTGAGTGTGGAGTGACACTAAGAGGACTGTCCCCAGGTCTGGGCCTGGCACCCAAAATTCCCCCTGGAGCTGGTCAGAGTATTCTCTGCCAACTTATGTCGATTTTCCAGCAACACATCCTGCATAAGGGGACAGAACTCTATACTGGGAAGGAAAAAAGGAAGGATGCATCTCTGAGTACTACTTACGTGGCCGTGAAGGTCTGTGTTTAGCAGCATCAGGGCACAGGTGAGCGTATGAATCCCATCTGAAACACACAACAGTCAGGTGGCTATGATTACTCCCCTTCCCATGCGGTTTCGATGTTCGCTGTCTTGGCAGTCCACCCATTGCAAAACCAAGGCTAGTTGCTATGTCTGGGGACTTTAAAGAATATGTGTTTCTTTCAACTGCACAAGACAGTTTAAAAAAAAAAAAAAATCCTCTTTTCCTTCAAACTTTACCTTTTCCTGAAATGATCACCAGGTAATTGGCTTTAAAGCAGTTTTGTCAATGGCTTTCTAAAGACCAGACTTTCCACTGAGTCTTCCTCCATATCCATTTTGTGGCAATGCCATTGCAGAATGGGGCAGAGACCGTGGAAACAGAGCTAGTTTCCCCCAGTTGATCACAGTCACCTCAGGGGTTTATCCTGAGGACTTTAGCCATCATTCCCAGGCAGCCTGTAAGCTCTTGAGTTGTTCAACAAACATTATTACTACAAATGAGTGCAGCTTTTTTGGCTCTCTGACAATAAAACTCACACGAAGGTTCCCTTCCATTTGAGACAGCACAGCACCCTCTTCTGTACCAGGTAGCCTGGCGGCTTCCTGTTATTTCAAAACTATGCTGTGTCCTGAAGCTGTTCAAGGTCAAGAGACTAGTCTCCACACATCACCTCACAACAGTGAGATGCAAATGCACACTGGCACATGAACTGGTCCTTGCAAGGACCTCACAAAAGAGCTAGAGAGCACCAGGAGGGAGGCAGGGGCAGAAATACTACAGCCTTGGTCTTTGGCCCTGCTCTTGGCCTGAGTTGGTGTGCTCACACAGACGGGCTGCTCCACAGACCAAGCCAGACGTGACATGATGCTCCTGTCTTATTTCCCTTGTGCATGCTGCTCTGTGAATTGATGCCCTAGGGTCAGGCTGTGACTTACCCCCAGGCCTGGCTGGGGAAGTGACACTGGTCTTTTCATGTGGGGGTAGATGTGCAGTCACAGAGAGCCAGCTGTGGCCCGTCTCCATCCCGGTCAGCCACTAAACAAAGGCACCGTTTGTGTGGACTAATGACAAGCCCTGAGCACCCCATGTTCAAGGCCAAGCTCTAAACACTGCCAGGTAAAGGCAACGAAACACACGAGCCCAGGATGAAGGCAACTGAGCGCATGAGCTCACTTTCACAAGAAGCAGCTTTGGGCTTAGGACAATGTGCCTCCCCAGTGCATATTTTGGAGTCTCTGTGGGAGGTTCTGGGCTGACATCTTCACCTGGCTTTACTGTAGCACTTTGGTCAGGTAAATCATGTCCCACATGGCCCCAAGGTGGAGCTGGTGTCCCAAAACCTGCTATTCTCTTGCTGTTGCTTTGCTCAGCTGCATTCACTTTTTCTCTCGCCTCACACAGTGTCACAACACAACCATATCGTTCTTCCATGTCTGGGCTTCATCAGTGCAGGAAAGCACTAATAATGTGTCCAAGACACCACTCTCTTGGAGAAAAACCAGCCACCCCACTCAGTGGTCAGCAGGTCAGAGCTTCCACCACCCTCATCTGCAGCATCCCATCATACAGGCTGAAGTGACCCTTGGTGTTGCAACAGCCATGTCTCCATCAATGGAGGAGTTATTGAGTCAGCATGTAGCAATACCCTGAATTGTCTTAGAGGGCTTTAAGACCTTCTCAGCCACCTGATCATCTCCAGACAAAACTGCCTTGATTCTATCATGCCTCTATGCCAATAGACGATCACAGCCAGAGGTGTTTCTTTAGAAATCTAGATAAAACACAGTGGTTCAAATTTCATCTTGGTGGAACATCCTTTGCAAGTTTAGGCTGGGTGCAACAAGAAGGGACTGCTTCCTGAAGAAAGAGCTTGCAATAGCTCAAATTGCCACGCATCTAGTCCATGCTTTTGCAGTATCTGCAAAAGATGTGACCTGAAGGAGCCATTTTGCTTCCCTCCGTTGCATCAGCTTCAAGTAGTACTTGGATTACAATTGTATTTTTCAAGCCCCATTCAATTCCAGTACTGAGTGCAGCTCTGTCCTGCTTGGGACTCATTCAGTTTACATTTGGTCTGCAGTAAGTGGTCCTGCCCAGCCTTGTGAAATGTGCTGCCACCATCACAGGCAATGCTGTGGCCCTAAATGTTAATGAATAGGTCACGACAGCAGCAGCAGTAATGTGTTTCAGATCCAGTTTTCCTACTCTTAATAGTTCTGTACTGTTCAGGAGTGTAACATTTTTAAAAGAGGTCCTACCAGCAGCAGTGACATCTCCACCGAGGGCCATGCAGTTATGGAAGAGTTTAACTTTCTGGCTTCATTTGTGTTTGCATTAGCAGGCACCTTCTTGCAGAGTGTTCAGAACTGGGATTTAATTTCTCTTCTGAACAGTTGCTGTAGCGTGGCTCCATCAGCAGCTTTGTAACCCATGTTGCCATGGCAAAGCTTGCATTTTGTTTGACTAGTCACTGCCCTCCAAACACCCTCATGCTGAAGGGTGTGGGATGGAGTTGGAGATCTGACCCTCTGTGCTCCAGCTCAGCCTCCGCTCAAGTTGGTGTGTGCATGCCCTCACAGTGGGTGTTAGACACCTGAGGACCAGAAGGGGAGAAAGGGTCCCAAGACCCTTGTCTGTAGGAGTGGGGGTGGATGCAATATGGTTGGGGATCACTTCCAGGGGGAGGTGTTGAAGAGGGGTCAGGACTTGGCATTTCGGATATTTCAGCTGGGGACTGCTGCTGAAAATTCAGCCTGCAGCTTAATGTCTGCAGGTGGAGGACCCTTTGCAGGGGAAGGTCCTCTTTGGATCAGTGGGAGAGAACATCACGCAAACACAGGGAAAAGAAATCTAAACTTGTACTTTATTGGAATATCACTGATAAAAGCAAAGAGGTCATTCTGTTTTGAGAACAACTTGTGTCCAGTTAGCTTGGCACAGGGACGGGAGGGTTCAAGTGACACTAGGCACTGCTGCTATTTGGGAAGCCTGCAAGATGGAGACAAGCAGGAGCTCTAAGACACAAGTGGCATATTGCAGGCTGAAGGGATGGAGGAGGAATAACTGGCACTGCTGTCAGGTCAACAGCCTGATCTCCACCCATGGGGGCATTTCTAGATGCCTGTAAACAGGTGTGTAAACAGGCATTCATGTAAGTGCGAACACAGACATGCTCATGTCTGGACGTGTGCATGTGCACATGTGTACCAGGAATGACCTTTCCCATTTAAAAATGCCAGAAGCAACTATATCTGCTTAAAAAAAAAAACGAGGAGGGGCTGAAAGTAGCTAACAAAATCTGCAACTCCACTGAGCCCAGAATTTTACCCAGCTGTGCTTTCTCCTGCTGCAGTTGTAGATGCAAAGAACACAATGCCTGTGTGTGGCAAGCCAAGAGCATTCCTCAATCTGCATGGAAATATCTTCTTCCATTCAGTGGACAAGGTCTTGGGCTGAGCCAGCACCAGCCACTCATTTGCCCACTGCCAGCAACCACTTTGCAAGCCACAATTGCAGTAATTTGCAACCCCTGAGAACCACTCACCACCTCCCCTGGTGCTGGGCAAAGCATGGCCACTCATCCAGGCTACAGCTGAGGAGCTTGTTTTCAGCACAGCTCACGTGCACTTGAGAGGACAAGGCTTCCTGGGAGCCCACGCTCAGACCCTCAGATCCTGAGGGGACTCATCTGGCTCTCTTGGGTGATCTGTACAGCACCCGGTGTCCCCAGTCCCTCCCAGGGCAGGTGTCCTGGTTTCAGCAGGGATAGAGTTAATTTCCTTCCTAGCAGCTGGTACAGTGCTGTGTTTTGGATTTAGTATGAGAATAATGTTGATAACACACCCGATGTTTTAGTTGTTGCTCAGTAGTGCTTACACTAGTCAAGGACTTTTCAGCTTCCCATGCTCTGCCGACTGAGCAGGCTGGAGGCGCACAAGAAGCTGGGAGGGGGCACAGCCAAACTGGCCAAAGGGACATTCCATACCATGGGACGTCATGCTCAGTACATAAACTGGGGAAAGCTGGCCGGGGGGGCCGCTGCTCGGGGACTGGCTGGGCATCGGTCGGTGGGTGGTGAGCAATTGTACTGTGCATCACTTGCTTTGTATAGTCTTTTATCATTATTGTTATTATTGCTCAGTTGCCGGCTGAGGTTAAACCACGACGGCAGAGATAATCAGCAGGGCAGGATCCCAGAGAAAGGGAGAAGCTGCAGCCTTGCCTGCCCAGTGGGTGCTATTCAGATCCGGCTGTGGATGGCTGGTTTTACACTCAGACTCTGTGACACAGGTGCACTGTAAGTGTGCAATGGACACTAGAGCCAGGGAAAGAAAGCGGTACCTTCAGACGTGCTCTCCTCTGGGTTGCACTGGCAGTATCTCCGGGAGAAATGAATCAGCACCCGCTCCCGCTCTTGCGTCTCTCCCATCAGCGGGAATGCTTTCAAGAACGTCCTGCAAAGAGAAACTGATACTTAAAGATGTCATGGATTGATCTGCTGGGCAGCATCCATGCTAAGGAGGGAGATGGAAAGGGGGTCCTCAGAGCAGCTAGGAAGGCATTTGTCCTCCCCCCATCCTGCGCACGCCTGGGCATCTGCAGGTGCAATGCAAAAGGTGTCTATGGGGCCAGCTC